TAAAAATGTTGTCGGCATTAAATAACCCATTGAGGTTGATATGCCGTAAAACCAAAATAAACCAAACCAAAATAAACCAAAGAAAATACATATTCTATTCATACGAATCTATCCTAAAAATCTTGTCGGCATTAAATAACCCATTGAGGTTGAAATGACGTAAAACAAAATAAAACCAAACCAAAATAAACCAAAGAATACATATTCTATTCATACGAATCTATCCTAAAAATCTTGTCGGCATTAAATAACCCATTGAGGTTGAAATGACGTAAAACAAAATAAACCAAACCAAAATAAACCAAAGAATACATATTCTATTCATACGAATCTATCCTAAAAATCTTGTCGGCATTAAATAACCCATTGAGGTTGAAATGACGTAAAACAAAATAAACCAAAAAAATAAACCAAACCAATCTCTAACCAAAGAATACATATTTGTATTCAATAACCCAATTGAAATGACTATCCAAAATAAAAGAATGTTATTCTATTCATTAAATCTATCCCATTGAAATAACCCATTGAGGTTGAAATGACGTAAAACAAAATAAACCAAAAACCAAAGAATACATATTCTATTCATACGAATCTATCCTAAAAATCTTGTCGGCATTAAATAACCCATTGAGGTTGATATGCCGTAAAACAAAATAAAGCAAACCAAAATAAACCAAAGAATACATATTCTATTCATACGAATCTATCCTAAAAATGTTGTTGGCATTAAATAACCCATTGAGGTTGATATGCCGTAAAACAAAATAAAGCAAACCAAAATAAACCAAAGAATACATATTCTATTCATACGAATCTATCCCTAAAATCTTGTCGGCATTAAATAACCCATTGAGGTTGAAATGACGTAAAACAAAAATAAACCAAACCAAAATAAACCAAAGAATACATATTCTACATATTCTATTCATACGAATCTATCCTAAAAATCTTGTCGGCATTAAATAACCCATTGAGGTTGAAATGCCGTAAAACAAAAATAAACCAAACCAAAATAAAACCAAAGAATACATATTCTATTCATACAAATCTATCCTAAAAATGTTGTCGGCATTAAATAACCCATTGAGGTTGAAATGACGTAAAACAAAATAAACCAAACCAAAATAAACCAAAGAATACATATTCTATTCATACGAATCTATCCTAAAAAATCTTGTCGGCATTAAATAACCCATTGAGGTTGAAATGACGTAAACCAAAATAAATCAAACCAAAATAAACCAAAGAATACATATTCTATTCATACGAATCTATCCTAAAAATCTTGTCGGCATTAAATAACCCATTGAGGTTGAAATGACGTAAAACAAAATAAATAAACCAAAATAAACCAAAGAATACATATTCTATTCATACGAATCTATCCTAAAAATCTTGTCGGCATTAAATAACCCATTGAGGTTGAAATGACGTAAAACAAAAATAAACCAAACCAAAATAAACCAAAGAATACATATTCTATTCATACGAATCTATCCTAAAAATGTTGTCGGCATTAAATAACCCATTGAGGTTGAAATGACGTAAAACAAAATAAACCAAACCAAAATAAACCAAAGAATACATATTCTATTCATACAAATCTATCCTAAAAATCTTGTCGGCATTAAATAACCCATTGAGGTTGAAATGACGTAAAACAAAATAAACCAAACCAAAATAAACCAAAGAATACATATTCTATTCATACTATCCTAAAAATCTATCCTAAACATGTTGTCGGCATTAAATAACCCATTGAGGTTGATATGCCGTAAAACAAAAATAAACCAAACCAAAATAAACCAAAGAATATATATTCTATTCATACAAATCTATCCTAAACATGTTGTCGGCATTAAATAACCCATTGAGGTTGATATGCCGTAAACCAAAATAAACCAAACCAATCTCAAGCAAAGAATACATATTCTATTCATACAAATCTATCCTAAACATGTTGTCGGCATTAAATAACCCATTGAGGTTGATATGCCGTAAAACAAAATAAACCAAACCAATCTAAAGCAAAGAATACATATTCTATTCATACAAATCTATCCTAAACTTGTTGTCGGCATTAAATAACCCATTGAGGTTGATATGCCGTAAATCAAAATAAAACAAACCAAACTAAAGCAAAGAATACATATTCTATTCATACAAATCTATCCTAAACTTGTCAGCATTAAATAACCCATTGTGGTTGATATACCGTAATACAACACCAACCAAACCAAACCTATTTCTTGGAACATTAGATTGGGAATATTCTAGTATTTAGTATGGAGTATAAGGTGCTAATAAAATATCCACAGGTTGACTAATTTTCCAAAAGAACTTAACACTTAAATTGTTTTTTTCAGCATCTTAGTTTTTTTCCCACTTTGTCAAATGCAGACCTCTCTTATCCAATAGATAGGTAAGCATAGCTTTGGTTCCAACAAGAATAAAAAAAGACAGACAGCTTTGGTAGGGAAACGGTTTGTCTTTTAAGAGGGAATTACCTAAACAAAATGAGTGGTTTGCACTTGAGTCAAATAGGTAACCCTAGTTTTATTTTAAACGTGTTCCAATAAAGCTGTCAGGAGCTTGGTCTGTGTGAATGTCAAAATGTTAGACCATGGTTTGATCTGCACGAGATTTAAATAGGAAAATCACAAAGGTAGATGTACGTGTGATTTGCACGTTATATTAAAAGATAGATATAGATTTCTTTAGAATACGAGTCAAAAGGTTAAACCTACGTTTGGTTTGTAAGAGAGTGAAGAAGGGAGACAGACTTTTGGTTTGAGCGAGAGTCAGAGAGGTTTACTTTAGATAAAAGATATAGATTTAGCTTATATAAGAATCAGAAAGATAGACATACGATTTCTTTGCCCAATAGTTCTTTTTCCTTTATTAACCGTGGTTTACCATTATTTCTTTTAAGAGATAGTGGATTGGTAGCTAATGCTATATAGCATGAGTCGGCAAACTTATACTATGTACCGACTTAGGCGTTTAAAATCTTTTTATACAAGTCAAGGTCAATATAACTATTCTACAATATATGTTGTATTGTAATATATAGTATATATACTTTAGTATATACAGTGGAACCCCGGTTCACGAATGAAGGCCGTTCGTAACCCGAAATGTTCGTAAACCGAAACTATTTTCCAATAGGAATCAATGTAGAGAAAAAAAAATTGGAAAAGAAAAACACAGCACAACAGACGAATGTATTCAACACGGCGGTCGACTCAGAAATGATTCCGTTCAGATTAACTCGATTCGACTATTTTGTTCGATAAGCGAAATTTTGTTCGTTAACCAAGGTATTTTCACCTAGATTTTTCTGTTCGAAAACCGATTTGTTCGACATGTGAGATGTTTGAGAACTGAGGTTTCACTGTATTAAAAGTGAAACAGCTAAATTTCTTCTTTCCTTTGTTTTAGTTATTGGTTCTGATTTCGTGATGCCATTTGTGGCTGTGTGCCATTGGAAATTGCTTAGCGTGCCACTTGTGGCACACGTGCCATAAGTGGCCGTCGCCTGCTATATAACACTGTCTAACCTACTCTTTGAGCCATAAATGAACAGAAGAGAGATAGTTTCATTGTTTTATTCCTAGACACACGTACGTCAGAAACTCGGTTGCCTATGTTTCCACACATATCACTCTAATGGTCCAGAAGCCAGGCAAGAAGACCGCCAGTGAATTTGATATTCACTTGATTCTTCCATACTTGAAGATTTATATCAATCTTTCTAAATAGCATGTTTCATCGGGACGTAAGCGATCCTGCCTCTAGACAAATTTTCTTTACCATCTCTAAATTGTCCTGACTTCGAGAGAAATATACTAGAGCGGTTTCACGTGACATTCTCCAAAATTTTAAGACACATCTTTTATTTCCACTGGCTGTCATCCAAGGTTAAAGTACCTTCTCAGCCTTCGAAAAGTACACTTAATATTTTGGACATGCGCCATACTTAATTCTGAATAATATGACAGTGTTTGAATGTGTAGGATTTGAGAATCGATTTGTTTTGTAAAATCGATTTGCAAGGCAGCAGGTGGCGGTGATGCAGTTTCCAAACAATTTGGATTAATTGATTAAAAAAATATCTTATTTTCTCTCAGAAAAACAAAACAAAAAACTCATTAACTACTCAATTTCATCCAACGTTTTATCGAAATTCGAATTAAAATATTTTTCCTGGACACAAAACAAACATGTAAACATAGAATTCATATCTATTATTGACGGACACAATCTTAACTATACAAGATAATTAAATAACACTGCTGTGATAGCATATACAAGAAAAAAAAACTGCAGTTATTCGTTGACAAGGTAATAAAGGAAAATGTGAAGAAAGGACTAATTATTAATAGTAAAATGAGAAAATGTATGGACATTAGCAAGAGACAGCACAAGATACGAGATTAAAAATGGAGCTGTTAGAAACAAAAATACCTACATTTAATTTACCGGGAAGTTTTATAGTATATGATGGAGTATTTGACACGGAAAAGCGAAAATGCTTTTGAATAAAAAAATAGGTCTTGCAAAAACTAAAGAAAAATATTAGAAACTAAGAAAATTTCGTTGATTAACTGACTATTTTTTATGTATTACCAACCATTTGGAGTGTTATTTAAAGCCAGAAAATATTGTTAGATTATAAGAAATTTTTAAACATAATCATGATTTACCGATGCAAATCGTACGAATTAACAATTAGCTGGGAGAGAAGTGATGGATTCATACCTTTCCTAAGGGTAATTGCATGTAAATGAATATAACGAATTCGACTGGAATTCGAACTCGGCGTTACGATGAAAAATACTGAGTCGTTATCCATAACATTACCGGCACATCCAACTTTACAGCTGTTGGTATTCCCAAGCGGTCACTCATCTTGATACTGACTAGATTCTACGTTGCTTAACTTCGGCAACCGTACGGGTACCGGTGTTTCAACGTGATGTAGCCGATAACGAAACATGATTGCAAATTCTAAGGAAAGTATTCAATATTTGGAAATAAGCTTCTTTCACCCACTTCCTTCTCCCCACTTGCTTGTCCTCACTTCCTTGTTCCTACTTGTTTGTCCTCACTTGCTTGTCCTCACTTCATTTTTCCTACTTGTTTGTCCTCACTTGCTTGTCCTCACTTCCTTGTTCCTTCTTGTTTGTCCTCTCTTCCTTGTTCCTACTTGTTTGTCCTCACTTGCTTGTCCTCACTTCCTTGTTCCTACTTGTTTGTCCTCACTTGCTTGTCCTCACTTCCTTGTTCCTACTTGTTTGTCCTCACTTGCTTGTCCTCACTTCATTTTTCCTACTTGTTTGTCCTCACTTCCTTGTTCCTTCATGTTTGTCCTCACTTCCTTGTTCCTACTTGCTTGTCCTCACTTGCTTGTCCTCACTTCCTTGTTCCTACTTGTTTGTCCTCACTTCCTTGTTCCTACTTGTTTGTCCTCACTTGCTTGTCCTCACTTCCTTGTTCCTACTTGTTTGTCCTCACTTGCTTGTCCTCACTTCCTTGTTCTTACTTGTTTGTCCTCACTTGTTTGTCCTCACTTCCTTGTTCCTACTTGTCTGTCCTCACTTGCTTGTCCTCACTTCCTTGTTCCTACTTGTTTGTCCTCACTTGCTTGTCCTCACTTCCTTGTTCCTACTTGTTTGTCCTCACTTGCTTGTCCTCACTTCCTTGTTCCTACTTGTTTGTCCTCACTTGCTTGTCCTCACTTCCTTGTTCCTACTTGTCTGTCCTCACTTGCTTGTCCTCACTTCCTTGTTCCTACTTGTTTGTCCTCACTTGCTTGTCCTCACTTCCTTGTTCCTACTTGTTTGCCCTCACTTGCTTGTCCTCACTTCCTTGTTCCTTCTTGTTTGTCCTCACTTCCTTGTTCCTACTTGTTTGTCCTCTCTTGCTTGTACCCACTTCCTTGTCCTCACTTGCTTGTTCTCACTTCCTTGTTCCTATTTGCTTGTCCTCTCTTGCTTGTACCCACTTCCTTGTCCCCACTTGCTTGTCCCAACTTGCTTGTCCTGACTTGCTTGTTCCAGCTTGCTTGTCCTGACTTGCTTGTCCTCACTTGCTTGTCCTCACTTGCTTGTCCCGACTTGCTTGTCCCGACTTGCTTGTCCTGACTTGCTTGTCCCCATTTCCTTGTCTCTATTTCCTTATCGTTCAAAAACGTCTAAGCGGAATTGAGTGATTAATTATTTTCCAACGTACAACCTCTTTCCCACAGACGAAACATCGCTAGCTTACCACTGCCCTGTAGCTATTTCCATGACATTTTCCATTACTTACTCGTGACCTCCCCTGAATAACTGGTACCCACCATAATACGTACATTAGGGTGAATCATCCCCATTTTCCTCCTAGCCCTATAGTAAGAAGCATGTTCCATTCGGACAACTTCTTGACAACAACTGCTGCTTTGGGGAATTCTCGACAGGATGTTTTCCCGATCGCTACAATCTTGATGTCTTCAAGGATTAACCGTGATTTTCCCTGCAGAACCTTATGAACCTCATTTCTTGCCTTTTCTTACGCTTATACAAAACAAAGTAATCCTCTACTTAAAGTGGCTCTTTGGCCTTGAATTGAGTTCACATTAGTATAAAAAATAACGAGGAAAATTTCATTCGAAACAAAAAACAAATACTGAATTTTTACACTCTTGTGCAAATTAATTGAAACAACCGTTTTAGTTTCATTCTTTCTCCTTCAGTCAAATTTAGACCCATTAGAGTGACAGGGTGTCATCGATTTCTATTTTTTCCTCAAATTTAAGTCATTTTAAATGGTGGGCAGTAATATGAATCTATTTTCGGGGTGTATGATGAAATATGTTTGGCCTTTGCGTCATCCGTGTTTGTATCAGATTTTCATCACGCCCAGACACTATTGTCTCGACTGTCGATTAATTGTCTTACGGCCATTGTCTGTGATGGACATTACTCCAAGGAAGCGTAAGAAAATTGTAACGCCGCACGAACACACTGACAAACCTTACCAGTGAGCAATTCGAAGTACTATAGATTGGCCCGGAAACTCTCCTGATTTAAATCCAATCGATAATTTGTGGTCAATCTGCTAGGAACTACTTCGTAGAATGGACATATGAAGTATTAACATGTGCACTGGGTCATGTTTCATTGGAAAAATACGAAAATGTAAATAATACCGGAATTATTCGTTTTGTTTCAATTAATTTGCACAAGGGTGTGTGTAATATGGGTCCACCTATATTCACAGATAAAGAAGTGACTTGAGGTAAGACCAATATGCTTCTACAGAAGGATGCTGAAAATATTGTGCCCTGAACTTGTGATCAACGACGAAGGATGCGAAATACTCCTTAATATTGTATAGTGTCTTCGATCCTCACTGGGTGTCGAGTATCGCTGACCTTTTACCAGGCAAACCTAAAAAGGAATCGACCGTACGGGATCATCAAGTCAATTCAAACGATCCTTCTCCTTAGCTGCATAACCGGGGCTACATACAGTTTTGAAATCAGAGTTCCCCTTCTCCTAGACCGGCTACCATCCAAGGCTATAGAACCCAGTCTGTTAAGGAATCCACCTAAGTCGTGATCATCGAGTCAATGCGACCGATCCTTTCCTTAGCTGCATAGTATGTGTCTCGCCAGGGCTAGATATAGTTTTGAATTCAGAATTTGCTTTCTGCTAGACTGGTTGCTACCCAAGGCTATAGAACCTAGTCTGTCCTGCTATTTACCCATAGTTGATGGGAAAAAAGATAGATGCATAACTATTCAAAGGGTATTAGTACGTAAGTGAATTCAATGTACTCGATTGGAATTCGAACTCGGCTCTCAGATTCCTCAATTCACTACTCTACCATCGCTCCTAATAGAGCTCTCTCTCTCTCTCTCTCTCTCTCTCTCTCTCTCTATATATATATATATATATATATATATATATATATATATATATAAACTAAAAATATAAAAAAATAGTATATATATATATATATATATATATATATATATATATATTTTTTATATTTTTAGTTTCTACTTCGTGCCAAGCTCCGGATATTGTTCAAGAAAGACTAAGTAATGAAAGAAGACAAATAAGAGAGAATTGGTGATATGTCTTAGCGGAGAATAAGGAGCAGAGAATAAACTTGGGAGAAATTCGAAACTTTATATATTTTTTTTCGATTTCTTTGTAATATTTACAATTGATACTAAAACATATAGTTAAGGTCTCAATTCATTTCTTGTATTTAAACGATTTCTTTTTATTCGTCAGTACGAAAAGAGACGATGGGAAAAATATGACGCAGAGAGATGTCCACCAAATGTGAACAAAAGATTGCTTCTTGCGAGATAAAATAAGCAGGAAATAAAGCAGTAAACTGGAAAAGAACCAACATGGGAGAAGGAAAAGTATTTCTATTCAAAGGACAAAGATTAAGGGAATTCTTTTTGAAGATGAAAGATATTTCAGAATAAAATCATCTTCCCAAATATTTCGCACTTATCAGAAAAGAGATAAACAGAACTTTTGCGCAAATGTTTCCGGAGATATCTGGAAAAAGTAGTTTTCTTATATTGTTTTCAATTTTATTATGGTCTCCAGAAAGAATTTGTCTATATATCTCAAATGAGTTATTTAGTACACTATTTACATTATTCGGACTATTGTCCTCATCGTTGTTGCCATATTTATCACAACGTTTCGGCCGTTGTACGCTCCAGCCTTCTTCAGCTGGTTTGAATGTCGAACTGAACCCTTTATTTCTCTCGCTGGGGTAGACTGTTCTAATTCCACGTGCCATGTCTAATGGATGTCAGTTATCAGTTATTTCCTGTTAATTCACCTCTCCAAGTTTTCCACTGCCTTAACCAGCCTTAAGGACACATGAAACAGTGGACAAAAGGCTTTGGTTAGATCGAGTGACAAGACACAAAGACCTGGTTAAGGCAGTGGAGAACTTGGAGAGGTGAATTAACAGGAGATAACTGATAAGTGACATCCATTAGACATGGCACGTAGAACGAGAACAGCTTCTGTTTTACAAGCTCCATTTAACGGACATATATTCTTATTTCTACAGTTGCATAAACTACTAGTGTTAACAATATTCTATTGCGTGTTAATTTTGAGATTTCTGGTGTTTTGTCTATTAATTATTGTTTCTAAATTACTAGTGCAGTTGTAGCTTGATTTAACTTTGTTTTTATTGAATATCTTATGTAATTTTGAATGTTTTTGGAAGTATTTAGTAAGTAACTTGAAAAATAATTTACCTATTTTATATGTTACCTTTAAATTAAACGGGGAGTCAAACCAAATATGTTTTTTTCTTTTCCTCGAATTATTCTTCATATATTGTTTAATTTCAGGTTTAAATTCTAATTTGGTTTTGTGAGATTCTACCTTTAAGTACGTTACACAGGCTTTCTTTTTATCCTCAAAAATTATTCTACTAGAAGAGATCCTGGATAAACTAGAGACTATTTCTGTGACGGTTACACACCTGGCCCAGGGTCGAATCCCTTGGTTACGGCGCCAACTGTGACGTCGCTCCTCCTGGTCGCTCCTCCTGGTTCCAAGCGTGCCGCTCCAACCCCTTGGTTGGATGATCACCAGCCTCGCCTTTCCCAACTCGCTTCCAATACCTGGTTACTGAAGCAACTGTACTGATCTCCGGTCTGTCTACCCACGTTGTGTTTAGATCTTAGACAGACGGGACCAGCAGGGATTGGGGCCGATACAAGTTGAGTCCGACGGGGGTGGCAAAACACAAGTAAAAAAAAAAAAACTCACGAGACAAAAATTACTGATAAAAAAAGGGTGACAACCTTTTATATCTAATGTCCGTTACATAAAGAAAATTGTTCTCAATTCCCGACCCGCTCTGTGGACTATGGCACAAAGCTTCTATCACACAACCTAAAGATTTCGAATTGCCTACTCTTTAGAATTGTGTATGTCGGAGTGTGGTTTGGTTCGACACTGGGGCTAATTTCTATCGATCATTCGCAGTTGATTCTTCTCTTCGACTTGAGTTGTATTTCTTCTTCTTCGTCGACTTAGGCTGGAAGTTCTCTTGTCTTCGACTTGGGCTGGAAGGATCTCTTGCCGCAACTCAGCCGCAACTCTCTGTCGTCCGGGTGATCTCTTCTCGCTGCCGTCCGGGGCTGAACTCTTCTGTCTTCGACTTGGGCTGGGAGGATTTCTTGTCTGAGGATTCTTTTTGCCCGCAAAGGGGCAGGTGAATCGGGCCCGATGCCCGCGTTCAGGCTCTATCCCCTTTTGCGGTCCAGCTGCAACTCCACTCCAACTGATTTCTGTCGACTGGGGTCCTGCTTTTATTGACGCCGCAGCAAACCGGGGTGGGTCTGTCGGCGTCAGGGTTTTCTCGATAATTTCAAAAGTCGCATTATTTCTGTCTTCTCATTATCGCTATTATTTTCACCCCTACTTCCTCATAGTGATTTTTGTGGGGAGGCGCGTATGTCAGGTGACCGCTTTCGACCAATGGTTCCTGATCGAGCATTTCTTTCTTTTCTTTTCCGCAGCCACGTGACCGTTTTCGGCTAATGAGACTCTGGTTGGGCGTTTTCCTGCAATCAATCAGGGGCGGGCTTATATCGTTCTTGTTCTAAAAAAAAAAATCTAATTTGGCCTTTTCGCACGTACGAAAATGATAATCTTAGCTTTTTCTCACCTGGGTTTTGTCAACACAGCCTGCCGCTAATTAGATGTGACTTCAGGGAAGAATATTGGCGCTATCTGTGAACTGAGACAATCGTTTTTTTTCACCTCTTGTTTTTGGTCAGACCCGACAGTCAGAAAATCTTAATTATCTACATTGAAAATATCTTTCACTCGTCAATGTGGGGGTTCTAATTTTTTAACAGGTCAGAATCTGTATACAATTCCACCGGTCACTCCCCTCAACCCAAAGACACTTTTTCTCTGATTAAGATTTCGTTTTCATTGTTCCCAAAATTTCCCTTTATCCAAATTGATAAGGTGTCTTTCTACGCAAAAGTAGGCTAGATGCTTTGACCGATATCTGGTTTTCATCAAGCGGCCCGTTTTGATATCATGTCTTTTCCTTTCTTTCTTTTTTTATTATTTCTAATTCTATTCTTCCA